CAGCTGCGGCGACGGCGACGGCGACGGCGGTGGCTGCGGCTGCGGCGACGGCGACGGCGACGGCGACGGCGACGGCGAAGACCACGACGACGAAAGTAACGACGACGACGGCGACGAGGACTGACGACGACCGACGACCCGAGACCGACGACCGATTACCGACCACCGACGGCGGACGGACGGACGGACGGTCGGACGACGCGGATGGCGATGATGGCGATGACGGCGACGGCGACGATGACGCTCTCCGCCGAGGAGCACTACCGGGAGATCGAGAAGGCCCGCCAGGGCTGGCCGGCCCTCGGCGACGCAGGAGCCCAAGGCACGTGGCAAATGGGTCAGGCAGTGACGAAGCGCCCCGACACGTCCCGGCAGCCCAGCGTCAACGGCTTGAGTTTTCCCCAGCCACTGATCCCGCGGAGCGGAGCGGCACGCTATCCGCTCACAAGGCATGTCATGTCGCTGGGGCCGCTGCCGCGACACGCTAAGCTCAGGTTCCTGACACTAGACCCTGCCTTTGTGTGGTCCTTCGTGCGGGCCTCAGAGGGTTCCAAGATCCCTTGCGGCTTTCTGAAGATGTCGTATGGATTTCAATGGATTTCGTCAACATTTGGACGAAATGCTGGACGTAATCTGGACGAAGTCTGGACGAAAGAATCAAAAGGGGTGAACACGCTGATGGTGCCAGTTAGCCCCTGTGGGTGGGGAGCACCCCCAGCAGGCGGCAGCCTCCTCGCTTCATTGTCTGATGCCGAATACTCTGTACATGTGCTCGGGCATTCGGCGTCTCGGCGGCCGCCGTGCTCTGCCCCGTCTCACGCTGCGGCACAGCTCTGCTCTGGAGGCGAGCCCCGTCCGACCACGAGGCTATCACCGTTGCCGTTGCCGCGCAGAGCCCCAAAAAACGGAACGTCCTCGGGTGAGCTCGCGACGCGGGGTCGGCCCAGACATCCGACGTCGTGCTTCTGCTTGCGCCGTGGCCCGGCGGATGCCCGTGGCCCGGGAAGGGCCCCGGGAGGCCGCAGACCAACAACCAAGGCTCGTCGTGGGTTTCTGCTGCGGCGCGAGGACCATGACGCACCGGGGGCGGCCAAGAGGGGGGGGCGATTCGAAGAAGAGAAAACGCCATAACCATAAACTTTTGGCGCTCCGCGCAGATTTCTTGGATCCGCGCCTGGGCCCCCTGGCGGCGCCTCCGGCGCCGCCCCTGGCGCGCTCCGCGCGCCAGGGAGAGAGGTCTAGCACGAATCCAAGAAATCCGCGCGGAGCGCCAAAAGTTTATGTCTATGGCGTTGTTTCTCCTTCTAGTGATCATTTGGGAGGGCGATCTCATGGCGGGGGCCATGGTATCTCCCCAGATTTCGTGGCGCATCTTCTTATTTCCATGCGTGCCCCGGCCCTCCCTGGTCCGCGCACGTGCCTTGGGCTATGATTTGCACCCCCCCCCTCTTGGACGCCCCCGAACTCAGGGGGGCAAGAGGTCATGAAAATGATACGTTTCAAGATCTCCGAGCCCCCCTTGGACGTTCACGATCCCCCCTCCTTCCACACGGGCCGCGGAAAAACGAACACCGCTGGATACGCTGGAAATCTTGGAACGCATTCGAAGCCAATCCTATCATGGCATCGTTATCGTATTCATGGCATCCACCGATATGAGTGTTTAATCCCCAGCCCCAGAGGTCCCGACCGTGTCCCCAGGGGTTAGCGTTTCGCCCCAGATCCGTTGTCGATGAGCCGGGCTCCGAGCACGGGCCCCGGGGCCGAAACCAAGGACAACCAGCGGGACTGAAGAGAATGATCGTAGGAGCTCTGGGGGTGCCAGGGATGGGTCAGGTGTGTCCCCCTACAGGCTGATTTTAATCAAACAATAAAAATACACAAAAATCGTCCCCTGACTATGTGTGGACTATTTTTGAATGTTCCTCTGTAGAGGGACACGCCCGACTTGAGGCCAGGCCTCTGAGTTGGAGTAGTGGGTCTGGCGCAGAGGGGCCGGCGGCGAGAGACGCCATCGTTGATGCACTGTGCACTCTTGCATGCAGTAGTACGCAAACTGCTGCGGGGGGGGGGGGGGGCGCGAGTTCGTGCACGGGCGACAGCTGTAGCGTGTGGACACTATAGCTGCACAATGGCACCCACGCGCAGGTGTTGCGCCGAGAGCGCCGAGGATTGCATCCAGGCCCCAAGCACTGATGCAATTCTCCCCGCCGACCCATCTGTGTCAGGCCTACTATTCCATCATAAACGGGCGAGTATGAGGTTGGTGATGGTGATGGTGATGATGATGATGATGACGACGACGACGACGATGATGATGATGATGATGACGATGATGATGATGATGACGATGGTGGTGATGATGATAATGATGATGCTGCTGATGATGATGCTGACGATGATGATGATGCTGATGCTGATGCTGATGGTGATGCTGATGCTGATGCTGATGCTGATGATGCTGCTGATGATCATGATGATGATGATGATGATGATGATGATGATGATGATGAGGAGGAGGAGGAGGAGGAGGAGGAGGACGACGACGAGGACAAGGATGAGGATGAGGATGATGATGATGATGATGATGAGGAGGAGGAGGAGGAGGAGGAGGATAATGTTGACGATGACGACGAAGGAGGAGAGAAGGAGAGGAGGAGGAGGAGGAGGAGGAGGAGGCGGAGGAGGAGGAGGAGGAGCCGAGGAGAGTCAAGGAAAGGATAGGAAAAGAGAGGCGAAGAGGAGACGTGGGGCGCCGCTGGCTCAAAACGAGGACCCCCCACCACAGGATGGTCGGGAACGTTGAGGGCGAGGGTCGTCCTCCCCGCTCGCTCGCCCGCCCCCCGCCAGCCACCTTTCCGGCTCCGAAGCCCAGGCGCGCGCGGGTCCGCCGCGAGGCGTTGGCGCCGACCCCCCGGGCGGGCCCCCTCCTGGGCCCCTTCGGCGCGTGAGCAGGCGCGGCCGCCGAGCGCTTGGATCGCCGCGGCGGGGGGGGGGGGCAGGGGGATCGGGGGCTTCGAAGCGGGCGCTAAGGTGGGCTACATCTGGCCCAGGTGGGCCGCAGGTGCCCCAAGTGGTTGCAGGGCGTACGGATCTGGGCTAAGCGGGCGGAGCCCATTCAGCGCAAGTACCGAATCACCCAGCCACAGAAGGCGCCTGCAGCCCACCTCTACGCTAGGTTAGGCCTGATAACCCACCCCAGCATCCACTTCTAACCCCACTTTGTCCACTTGGTACCACCCCCCTGCGGCGACCCAAGTGGGCAGGCGAACGGGCTCAAGCCCAAGATGCTACTGGGAATCCCGGAGGAGGAAGAGGAGGACGAGGGAGGAGGAGGGCGGGGGAGGAGGGGGAGAAGGAGGAGGAGGAGGAGGAGGGAGGAGGGGAGGAGGGGAGGAGGGAGGAGGGAGGAGGAGGAGGAGGAGGAGGATGAGGAGGAGGAGGAGGAGGAGGAGGAAAAAGGAGGAGGAGGAAAAGGAGGATGAGGAGGAAAAGGAGGAGGAGGAGGGAGGAGGAAGGAGAAGGAGGGGAGGGGAGGAGGAGGAGGAGGAGGAGGAGAAGGAGGAGGAGGAGGAGGGGAGAGGAGGAGGAGGAGGAGGAGGAGGAGAGGAGGAGCAGGAGGAGGAGGAGGCCGAGGAGGAGGAGGAGGAGGAGGGAGGAGGAGGAGGAGGAGGAGGGGAGGAGGAGAGAGAGGAGGAGGGAGGCGGGAGGAGGAGGGACGAGGAGGAGGAGCAGCAGGAGGAGGAGGAGGAGGAAAAAGGAGGAGGAGAAGGAGGAGGAAAAGGAGGAGGAAAAGGAGGAGGAGGAGGAGGAGAAAAGGAGGAGGAGGAGGAGGAGGAGGAGGGAGGAAGGAGGAGGAGGAGGAGGAGGAGAGGGAGGAGGAGGAGAGGAGGAGGGGAGGGAGGAGGAGGAGGTAGGAGGAGGAGAGGAGGAGGAGGAGGGAGGCGGAGGAGGAGGAGGAGGAGGAGGAGGGAAAGGAGGAGGAAAAGCAGGAAAAGAAGGAGGAGGAGGAGGGGAAAAGAGGAGGAGGAGGAGGAGGAGCAGGGAGGAGGGAGGAGGGAGGAGGGAGGAGAGGGAGGAGGGAGGAGGGAGGAGGGAGGGGGAGGAGGACGAGGAGGAGGAGGAGGAGGAGAGGAGGAGGGAGGGGGAAGTAGGAGGGGGGAGGGGGGAGGAGGGAGAAGGTTGGAGGAGGAGGAGGAGGAGGAGGAGGAGGAGGAGAAGAAGAAGGAGGATCGAGGATCGAATGTCAAGGAGGAGGAGGAGGAGGAGGAGGAGGAGGATCGAGAAGAAGGAGGATCGAAGATTGACTGTCAAGGAGGAGGAGGAGGAGGAGGAGGAGGAGGAGGAGGAGGGGGAACCCGCTGGCGGCCGACAGGGCTCGGTCTTGAGTCCGCTCGGCGGCCGAACGGGCTCCGACGCCGGAGGGTCTCGGGAGCGAGCCTCGGGGGATACCTCGGCGCCCCGACGCACCGCGGGGTCCTGAGACCTGCCGCTGCAAAACATCGACATCGCATTCCGCCTCCTCCTTCTCCTCCTCCTCCTCCTTCTCCTCCATTCCTTTTCCTTATAAATAATTTCTCCCTGTCACCCTCCGAGGCCAGTTTTTGGGGCGGGCCGGGCGTTTCGCCTGAGACATCCCTATTATTTATGATTATGAAGCCTTTTTCAAAGTGTGGCGGGTGATTCAAAATGGGTTCACGGGTTGAGGTCAGGTGGTTTTCAAAATGTGGTTCTCGCAAAGGCGCCGCGCATATTCGCTTTCAAGAAATTGCAAGACTTTCACGGATTGAGGTCGTGTGGTTTCAATATGTGGTTCTCGCCTGAGCGCTGCGCACATTCGTTTTCAACATTTGCAAAAGCTTCACGGATTGAGGGCGGCTGGCTTTCAAAATGTGGCTCTCGCCCTAGCGCCGCGCACATTCGTGTTCAAACTGTGCCAGAGCTTCACGGATGGAGGGCGGGTGGTTTTCAAGATGTGGCTCTCGCTTTTGCGCCGCGCACTTTTTAAAACATTCGCAACAGTTTGACGGAGTTGGGGCGGGTGGTTTTCAACATGCGGCTCTCGCATGAGCGCCGCGCACAGTCGCATTCAACAGTTGCAGGAGTTCCACGGGTGGAGGGCGGGTGGGTGTCAAAATGTGGCTCTCGCCTTTGCGCCGCGCACATTCGTTTTCAAAATTTGCAAGAGTCTCACGGATTTTGAAAACGAATGCAAAAAATTGCATTCGTTTACAAAATTTGCGCCGCGCACACTCGTTCTCAAAACTTGCAGGAATCTCACGGATTCCCATCATCAGCGTACCAGACATTGCGTG